TCCCTTAAAAGACATATGACCTACATTACAGACCTTCAAAATGAACTCTATATATATAATGCATGCCTTGTAGCACCATCACATCCCCCCCCCCCCTAAATTACAGAAACATGACACCCCAAAACCTCGTGCTCCTTCCTCTTTCAACCCCTAAATTATCCATTGGACATGAGCAATCTATTGGGGTTAACATTCGTAATGCTCCTTCAACAACGATATGTAGTCAAACACATAGGACATTTCACCTTGTATTTGCCCCACATGTGGCCTATGCATCGGCCGAATTTGTAATCACAAAAGAAGGTATAGTCGGAGTATCACGGTAACTGTGTCATAAAGGAATTCAAAGAACTTGAATGTTTTGGATCCATTTGGAATTACATTCCAGGCCCTTTAATTTCGCACTCAAATTATAATAGCAATATGGAAGTAATACCATGGCAATAAAAGTACAATATAATGGCAATCTGGACGCAATACAGCATGCTGTAGCAATGCAACCCAAATTATGCAAATGTAAAAGAATTCCCATTCAACATAACACGAAACCCACCACAAATAAAAGTAAAGTTGACATGACCTACCAAAGCAACAGAAATCATATTGTCTAAGATACATTGCGCACTGGAATAGTGTTTTTACAGGTGCTTTTATTGTGGCCTGCGGAACCACACCTTGAGCACTTTCTTCTAATGGTGCCCTCTCCTTGCGAGGGAATTCTTATCTTCTTTCGTCTGCCTGGCATGACCCTTGCAATGGGAGGCAGCACAACTCGACTTCGAACATCTTCAGGAATATCCCACATTCCGTGAGGCTGTATCGGGTAGATGCTATCCGAATAAGCATCCATCCAGGTTTTCCGAGTGTAATACCGAGAAGCCTTTGAGTATACATTTACTTTCAAGAAGCGGCAAACTGCAACTACATGCTTGCAAGGTAGCTGCTCAAGCTGAAACTTTCTACAACTGCAAGTGTTGTTCGTCAAATCTACGAGGCCATCCATATGACCGTCCAAAACATTAAACTGTGCATTATTCACTTTAACCACATTCATCGTTGCAGCATCCTCCAACCTGTTCCTCAACTTCTTCTCTCCAAAATTGGGGCACAATGTTGTTGTGCACTTCAAAGCCAACTCACGACGTTCGGTGAACCATTTGACAAGGAGATTCATAATTTCCCCTATCAAATGAACCACTGGCAGCGTCCTTGCAAACCTAAGGACTGAGTTGATTGACTCCGCAATATTTGTTGTCATTACATTGTAGCGGCGTCCATCCATGTGAGCTCTAGACCACTTATGTAACCCTGCCTCTTCAAGATATTGAGCAACATGTTCCTTTCGCTTGATCTTGCGAAAATGACAATCAAATTCAGCAATGGAATAAGATTTCGCAGCCTGCTCAAAGTGCATAAGTATTGGATCACGCTTTTTCAACTTGCAAGTGCGTTTCATGTTCCCCTTCATATGATAAAAGCATATGCCATGTTGCGCAGTTGGAAAAACTTTGTTCCACACATTCTGTATGCTAACATTTCGATCAGAAATAATAACAAGATTGGGACACTCACCAATGGCTTCATGAAGTTTAGTGAAAAACCAATGCCATGATGCATCCGTCTCCAAATCCCCGATCCCAAAAGCAAGAGGATATATATTTCGATTACCATCGAATGCATTTGCTACAAACATAACACCCTTGTACTTGGATTTTAAATGAGTGGCATCCACAGCTATCACTGGGCGCATGGAAGAACAAAACCCTCTAATACATGCACCAACCGCCATAAATAAATACACAAAGTGATTGTTCTCATCAGTTTGGATGTGTGTTTTTGTGCCGGGATTCATACGCTCCAATTCATAGCAATAAGCTGGAAGAATATAATATGCCTCCTCCGCTGATCCTCTAATGGACAATAGAGCTAACTCCCTTGCTTTCCAAGCTTTCGAATAATGGATTCTTAAACCAAAGTTGTGTTTCACATCTCTCATAATGTCACTTGGTGTGTATATTGTCCGAGAATCCTTCAACTTCCTTTTACATGAAGTGGCTACAAGTGCTGCGGTTGCTTGACGATGGTTGTCACTTATGAACCTCAAATCACATTCATGGACAGTTGTACACCTCACAATCATGAAGCTGTATTCTCCAAATCTCGATGCTCGGACCCGCCATGGGCATGGACGTTGACAACAAACCACAAGCAACCTCTTTGTGCAGGAGAATTGCACCTTAAATTCGAAGTGGCCTCTTATTGCCGTCAACTGTAACTCCGTCAACAATGCTTTCTTACTAGAGAAAATTTGCCCAACTGTAATTTTCGGATTCCAATCACTTCGCGAACACCCGCTATCCAAATATGCTTCCCCATCATTTACACCGGCTTCATTGTACCGGTTCTGTTCACCTATTTGATTCCAATAATGTTCACGAATGGGTTCAGATTCTCCTCCTAAACGCATTATTGGCAGTTGGGCAGATGTGTTCAAGCAGCCCAAAATAGGAGGGGCAGAGTACACTGACACTTCATTTCTTTCAGTACCATTATCACCACCATGCATGTCCTCCACCTCGCTAAAATCAATCATATCCATAAAATCTGTCCCTACTTCACCTCCCACATCATTGCCATTTGTATTATTCCAACTTACTTCATTGCTTTCAACAATGGCGACTGAAGAACGACCCATCCGACTACTATTTGTCGTGATATGCATACTATCAACTACATCATTTGTGAGTCCTTTATCTTCTATACTCACGAGTAAGGGAGCTAGTTTTGAAGGTGTTACCTCAGAATTGTACTTCATAAAAAAATTGACATCATCATCATCCTCAATCTTTATGTGCTTCCACTCATTCGAGGCCACCAAAACTGAGAATTTTAAGCAAACCTTGTCTTCCCTGCTGTTTGTATTACCAATCTGATGCACACGGTCCAACAGTTCAGCAAATTTGATGGTCCGTGGAACTATTAAGCCTTTTGAGTCACCCCCTTCGTATTTGCACATCTTCTTCGAGGTGACCCATTTTCCATTGTAGCACACGAGAATAACAATTGTCTCCATTTCTGACCATGACAAAACAACAGTTCATTAACACAATATAACCACAATAACCATACAATATAACAGCAATATAACCACAATAACCATACAATATAGCAGCAATATAACCACAATAACCAATAACCGCAATATAACAGCAATATAATGGCAATATAACAGCAACATAACAACAATACGACAGTAAAATAAGAGGAACACTGGTGTAACACATCAGAATCACACTATACAGATCTACTACATCAAATGGAAAATCCCAAGTTTCAAGATTCACATATCCAGACCAATCTAAGTGCAATTGGTACAAACCCAGATGAATCAGCATGGATATTCAACAAAACCTAACCCAAAGCAATTAAAGCCAAAACAAATTTAACACAAACCCAAACAATCAAAATGTAACCCATTTCACATAATCCCACTGATATTAAAAGAAAATAACCATCAACACTACCTTTTCGAGGTCGGCAATCCACTAGAGCTTCACGGTTGCAAGCAGCTATTCAGAAGACATACCTAAAGGTAGGGGTTCGCGATTCCAAACAGAGAGCAAGACCGAATATGGGGAGAAACAGACATAACGAATCTAGAGAGAGAAAGAGCTGCGGTATGAGAAAGAGAGCAAAGACAGAGACAGAGAGTTGTGCTACAGAGAGAGAGAGCCAAGAGAGACAGAGAGCTGCGATAGACATATACCAAAGAGAAAGAGAGCTGTGCCAGAGAGAGAGAGAGAGAGAGAGCTGCGTGAGCTAAGAGAGACCAAAATTGATGAACTTGTGATAAATCAGCAATAGGAGGACAATAATTTTATATTTATAGGTTAAAATAAAATAAAAAAAATTTTTTTTAATTTTTAAAAAAAAAAAAAAAAAAAAAAAAAAAAAAAAAAAAAAAAAAAAAAAAAAAAAAAAAAAAAAAAAAAAAAAAAAAAAAAAAAAAAAAAAAAAAAAAAAAAAAAAAAAAAAAAAAAAAAAAAAAAAAAAAAAAAAAAAAAAAAAAAAAAAAAAAAAAAAAAAAAAAAAAAAAAAAAAAAAAAAAAAAAAAAAAAAAAAAAAAAAAAAAAAAAAAAAAAAAAAAAAAAAAAAAAAAAAAAAAAAAAAAAAAAAAAAAAAAAAAAAAAAAAAAAAAAAAAAAAAAAAAAAAAAAAAAAAAAAAAAAAAAAAAAAAAAAAAAAAAAAAAAAAAAAAAAAAAAAAAAAAAAAATTCCTGAGTTTGTTACTGAGATTCCCATTAAGTGGGGCCCACTCACAATCTCATTAAACTTGGTAAAGGGAATGAGTATACTATTCTGAGTCTGACTGGCTCACATAAACACTTGCTCCTTTTGACAGTTATGATAAATTGTGGTGATTGCTCGTATTTTAAAATTTTCTTTCTTTCAGTAGTTTGAGATTTTTTTGTGTTTTTTTTTTTTCTGTTTTTTTTTTTTTTTTTTTCCAAAGTTAGGACGGGAGAGGACGGAAAACTCACACCCATGAATACTACCGAATCCAAACACATCCAATGCTCAACTTGGCCAAAAAATTGGTGTATCTATGCAACACAGGAGTCTTGCAAACTTTGGTGGAAGTAACCAAGATATTAAGCTTACACGACATTATATTATAGGGAGCTTATACAATGAGGGGGTTCAATTCAGCAATCTAATAATAACTCTGCACTTAATAAAACGGCTATTCAAGATCTCTCATTATAACCCTTCACTATAATCCCTCATTATAGTCTCCCTGTATATGATATTAAATCATTCAAGATTAAGAGATCAAATAGAGAATCCGATTTTAATAGGCAGCCCAGCCCAGCCCAGCCCAACTTAGAGAAAAAAAAAGGACAGATCCGGCCCAGTCTAGGCTTTAGGCTGGCTCGGCCCGGCATAGGGGAAGTAAAAGGCTCAAAGCATTTGACGGCTTTGAAATCTGGGCAGTGAGAAATGGGAAAGGGTCTGATATGGGCAACGGCAGAGGACTTGGCAAGAAACAGAGGACGCGTTCTCTCACTGTATCGCCAAATTCTGAGAAGCCTCAACTCACCGGATTTGCCTCTGAATTTGGCAGCACGGCTGGCCAAGAAAGCTGAGGCGCGCGCAATCTTCATCGTGGCGTCTGAGGAGAGGTCCCTGCACAACATTGATGACCTCATTGATGCTGCTCACTACTCTCTTTCCCTCTTAAGGAAAGGAGAAATACCCAAGTACATCCAATGAGTAAGTCGCTTTTTCTGGTTCCTCTTCACAGATTTAGAAGGTTAGAAGGTGAACCAGTTGGGTTTTGTTCTTCAAAGTCCATGTGTTTAAGATTTTTTGGCGAATGGTTATCATGTGTTTTGGTTCAGAATGTCTTCTGTTTTTAGGGAAATCGCTTCCTAGCTGCGTTAATGTTTAAAAATTTTACACACATTCAGTGGTTGAGTAATTTGTTAGTTGTGCTGCAATTTTGAATGTAACCCAGTTGGGTTAAGTCCTCAAATTGCAGGAGGTGGTTGCTTTTTGATTGTTTGGAAAGTGTTTCTTATGTGTTTCTGCATATAATTTGCTTCCTTTTTTGGTCGAAGCATATAATTTGCTTATTTATAAGGTAAGTTGCTTTCAAGAATTGTGGGAGTGCTTAAGTAGAACATGTTGAGCTAAATTTGGGGCCGTTCCGGTACTCAGAGGAATTGTGAGTTAATTTTTGAAGAACATATGAGTGCGGGGTTTGTAATAGTACTACAATAGTGACTATAATCTTGATTGAGGTCTGGCTATCTTGTGCTGCTAATCAGAAGGATAATGTATTGGAAAACTGGTTATATACGGATCATATTGGGATTGTGAAATTTTGGTAGTTTAGAATCATTTTTATTCATGGTGTTCTTCATTTTATGCTTGAGTAAGTTGTGGATAATGTTGTTATCTGAAAATCTATCGTCTTTTATCTATGGTTTATAGTTGTACAGAGTCAACACTCCCCAATAACCTAGGTATAGAAGTAGTACCATGAAATAGATAGATTCCTTCACAGGATACACTCTAGTAGCAAAGAAAAATATTAGTATGATTTTGCAACCCGATCAAGTTCTTTTTGTTTCTTTGCTGAATTACATTTTTTTTTTCATAATTTAAATCATTTTTGCAATTATTTTTTTGTTGCTTTTTGTAGAATTTCTATTAAGTGCAACTTTTACAAAATCATTGATGGTATGCTGAATGATAGCTAGTGGACTGATCTTGTGATCTTATGACTTGGGGAAATTTTGTTTTATAGTACTTACCTGTTGTTTCCTGCGTAGTATTCATTAATATCTAAATATTATTAAATATGCAATGCCAATTTTTTTGATAGTTGAATGTTTGGATCTCACCTACTGGTTGGATTGTTATAGCTCCAAGTGAATATCAAAGAGTTTGAGTATATATATCAGATTCTTTGATTACCAAAAACTTCCATATAAGAGAATGGTCCAATTAAATCTGAAGATTCTTTAGTCTATGCAGGCTACTGGCATATTCGTTCGCTGGAAAATGTATCGAGTTCTCTGCATAGGATTTTCTAGCAGTTGGCATCTTCCAAGTTGTATTGTCAGGGATGTTTAGTTTTGCCTGTGTAGTTTTGGTTTTGGTGTATACTGTTGGTTCTGTGTACTTTGTTGCGGTATGAGGCCTTGCTTGTTTATACAGTTGTTGTTCTCTGAACTGCTGTTAGTAGTTAATTATTATGATATCTTGTAATGGAACCAAATCAACCCCATCCCCATGTATTAGGATATTTAGGTTATGTTTTCTTGTATGAGCATAGCTTCGTGCATTCGGCTAACGGTTTTGTAAAAACTTCATGCTATTCTTATCTCATACCAGTGTTGGTAGCTAACCTGACAGTTAGATACCAAGTTTTGAGGCTTCTAATGTTAGGTTGTGCCATGGAATTAAATTTTGAATGACTTTATCCAAAATTCTCCCTTGCTTATTTCTTTTTTCCTGTAAAAGAATATCATAGCTTAAAATTGTTTCTTGTGCAAAATGATGCAGGCCTATCTTTAGGAAGTGAAGATATTTTTCGCCTCTCAGTTGCTCTCCCTTTTACGCAGATTACCGAACTGAAATTGTAAAACGTATGTGCACGACAATGCGAAATGGTCTTGTTGTGCGTTTAATTCCTTTCATACTCGTATAACTTGTAATCTATGCTACATTTTCATAAAATATGCCAAGATATTCGAACATTTTCATGAAATGTTTGAATATTTCGTTTGGCTGCACCGAAAAAATATCATTAATTACCAAAAGGGATTTTTTGTTTTCTGTTTTGTTCTTATAAAATCAAAAGCAGCTTTCTAGTTCATATTTCATGAGCTTTTTATGGTATAAAGCAGACCCACGTATTCTGAGTACTTTTTTAGCAAATAAATGATAGGGATTTGTTTGGCAATGAGGTCAAGCTCAAGTGGAAAAAGAGCCTTGACTTGAAGACCAACGGTCTCAAGTTCAAACTTCCATCTCCGTGGCACCTTAATCGTGTGTAGAAATCTACTCGCTTGTATTCAAAAAACCGATAGGAATTTTATTCGTCAAAAAAACATTAACATCACTTGCCAGTGCACCAATAGGGATTTATTAATATCTAAATAACATTTATATCTCCTCATATGTGCTTGGTTTATTAATTTAGATATTAATATCTAAACAACATCAATTAATTTGAAACACAGATAATGAGAGGGAGACCCGTGCGGCGGAGCGTTCTTCCCAGAGAGCACAAGTGATGCATGCAAATTAGTGAGAGACAATATAGAGAATGCAGCCGGCTAGCTACGGTTTGAAACAACTGGGCTTCGACATATGGGCAAATATTATTAATTAAAAGAAACCAGTGATCAAACCACCCAAACCCCAATTATATATTTTTTATTTTATTTTATTGGTGGGCCTGTCAGCCAGACTTTGATGGGTGGGCTGGACTGAGTTTCCGTGGACTCAAATGGGTCGGTCTTATGAGCCAGACTTTCATAATATATATATATATATATAGGTAATCAACTATAGGCAATTAACTATAGGCACGTATTCTGAGTACTTTTTTAGCCAATAAATGATAGGGATTTGTTTGGCAACGAGGTCAAGCCCGAGTGGAAAAAGAGCCTTGACTTGAAGATCAATGTTTTCAAGTTCAAACCTCCAACTCTATAGGTAATTAACTATAGGCACATATAACTGCGAAGTGTAATTGTGCTCAAGCCATATTAGAGTGACTAATTATCAAAACCATGCAAACCCAGAAAATATATAAGTCCTATGTGTTCTATTTCACGCTTCTGTCACACCAAGTTTATTGTCTACTTTTAAAATTCTGCATCATATAGTAAGATCAACAACAGAGAAAGTATCTATTAAAATAACTCATGCCTCCCTAAAAACTGTTGGTAGGTAGAACTGCTGCATATTGTTTGTCCAGAACCTCAATGAGCTTTTGGGCTATAGCGCTTGCATACAAAGATGACCCTTCATACATCTGTAGATTTAAAACAAAATTAACCATAATTATTTAAAAACCACACCACTTGTATGAAAGAAAAACAAACTGGGACAAATTGCAGACTGCCAACCTTGGTGTTGAACAAGAAGCTGTAGGAATTGCCAATGTGTCCACCAGCAACATGATGCAGATCAAGCTGCAGCTCATCAAGAAGCCTGGACACATACAGCAACAGATTGATCTTCTTCCTCTGAACCAGTTTGATGGTAACTTCATCATCGATAATGCGGATATCGACCTCAGTGTCCTTGGATTTCCTCTGAAGCCATGAGCTCCTCAGAGAGCCATACTGGTCATGAGGGTCACCAAGAGGCTTCATGTTGCAGCTCTCATCATCTCCAGCACCACCATCTTGTTCAGTCCTGCGCCTCTTGCTCCTCTCTCTCCCACACCTTTTCTTCTCCACCAGCAATTTCAGCTCTTCCACCGTCCTCAGAAGCTCCTTTATGTAATCAATTGCCTCTCCCACAATTGATGCTCTATCACTCTTTCCTCAAATTAATTGTTCCCCAAAGACCAAAAGGCAAACATTAGTTCAGCAAAATAAATGACTATCCAGCCCAAAAAAAAAGACAAGAACTTGGGAAACTACCAAGCCAGTAACTTGGATATCAAAATGTCATACACTGATTCATGAAATCATTACCCAATTAAAACTTCAAAACAACTAATATGCATTTTTTCGTGAAATTTAATCAAATTCAGTAGCATATATTTTTGCAGTGATAGGATGTGAAATTTTGAATTTGAAGTATATACCTTCGTTGGGTGTGGAAGCAAATCCTTCAAGGCAGTGTACTTGCCATTCAACTGGACTCTCCTGTGCTTCTCAGTGGCAAAGTGTTTGGTCCCTTTGACGTCTCTTCCTCTTCCAATAGAACCCATTTCTCTGGAGAACTCCAACACCCCATTCTCAAATTGCCTCCCATTATTAATCCCATCTGAGTAAACCCCTCCTCCAATCCCCTCTCCCTCTTCCCCACCACTAGTAAACAATGACCCATTTCTTGAGCCTGGCAAGCTGTATCCATGTGGCAAGGACTGAAGCAATTCCCTGAACAATGGTGGCTGTGGAGGCAGGTTCAAATGGAAAAGTGGGTCATAGAGAACCGAACTCGCTGTCCCTGGCGGGGTGTCAATCCCACCATGGACATCTCCGAGGAACCCCAAAGTGTTCGGAAAATTCGAGCTTTTCGGGTTGGGGTTTGTGAAGGTAATGGACGAGTTTTGGAGAACAGAGGAGGGTGAGCATCTAGGTAAGCTGAAAAGGTTGAGAAGGTCAGGTGTAGGTGGGTATGCACCATTAGCACCATCTTGCAATTGTTGCTGCATCTGATCATGGACACCATGAATATTGTCCCAATTGTTTTGTTGCTCAAAGGAAACCAAATGGCTGCTGTTGTTGTTCTGGTCAGTATTGGTGCTGTATGGATTGAACCCAAGTTCATTTTGGAGCTCAATTTCCATGGCAGCATGATGATCTTGTTGATGAGGGTAGGAGAGCTCTTCCATGGAGAGTCTCAAGTTTTCTGCAACAGCAAAGCTGCTGCTGTTGTTGTTGTGGGTTTCTGAGGGAGAAGGCATGAGAACTTGTGGTGGAGGTGGTAGGGGAAGAGGGTTGAGGTTGAGGACACTTTCTGCTGATTCTGGCATGGAGTTTTGGTCAAAGTTGCAGCCTACTGTATCCTCATACATTTTTGGACCAGTCTTTAATTTGTCTTCTGGAGCCTTTTGCCTTTTATGGGTCTGCTTTGTCTCTCTGCAGCATTTTCACATAAACCAAATTATCAGAATTTAACACAAGCACATGAAGATGAAAAGAAAAAAAAAGCTTAAAAATGAAGGCTTAATTAGTCCCACAAATACAAATCTCTTAACCTTCTGTATCAGAAAAGCTTTGTTTTCACAAAATCAAGAGCTGGTAGACAGAGACAGAGAAGAGAGAGAATGGAGGGTGGTAGGAGAAGGGACTGAAACTGTATACATCTGAGAAAGAGTGAGAGAGAGAATTGTTTCTTTGTTCTTCTCTGCTGCCTCTCTCTCTCTCTCTCTTATTTCTCTCTGAGACTCAATGAGATTTATTGGCCACAGCAGCACAGCTGGGAGTTTGTTACTGAGATTCCCATCAGTAGGGCCCACTCACAATCTCCCTATTCTAAATTTCTTGATTCTACCCGCCAGATTTTGCAGTTTCACCCCCCAATCCTTCATTAATTACTTCTTTCCCCTTCTTATTTCCTTTGATGGTTATGACAAAAATGTGGCGACTTTAAAGATATATCTATATAAGAAATTGTAATTGATGAGAAAATGAGATGTTTAGTACTCAAAAATTGTTTTGAACATCGTTTTAATTATTCAGATAAAATTATATCCCAAAACAAACGAGCGAGATGAATTACAAATGATAATATTTTGAATTTGAAACGTTGAAAATATCAAAACCGATAAATCAAAATGGTCAATATCCATTTTTCTACATTTTGGTTAAGACAAAAATTGAACAATGAGACCCAAACAAACTTTTGTCTCACCCTTTTTGGGTCCCAAAAAACTTCATTCACAAAGCCTCAAACGCCTAATAAAGGTTTCTTGATCCCTTTTCCTTCTTTTTTTGTTTCTTTTCATCCCTTCATCTTTTTCAATCAGAAACCGTTGAGATTTTTACCATTTGCAAACATAAGCGCATATGCTAAATGTAAGAAATAATGAATACTTCTAACTTCAACTGGTAAAGTATTTAACTCACATTCACAATCCTCCTCCAAAAATTAAACTTGCTTTGGAAAAATCAATGGCAAGGGTTCGATACCCGTTGGAAGCACTTTGTGGTCAAGGGTAAGTCGAACCCCAAGCGGGGATTAATCACACTCTTCGAGTGTGGGGACACCTCGTGGTATTTACAATAAAATAAAATAAAAACCCTCAAATCTCTCCGTATCGTACCCGTTTTAAACTTGTGTGTAAGGAGACAGGCACAAAACCCTTATCAACGTTCCTAACCTACATATGTTTTTATTATGGATTTAATGAAACCATTTTTTGCCAAAGTAATTGATGAAATTACCAATAGATGTACCAAAATTTATGTAGGAGGAGTGGTAAGATTAGCACTACCTGGTGAGATTGGAGTATGGGGAATTCACGCAAATTGTGGTTATTCTTCAAGAGTGAGTTTAGGTAGGAGCTGTATTTTTTATACAATAAGTAGTTACAGTTTGTGTGGACCCCACTCCTCACCTCTCTCCATGCAAACCGCCAGCCCAAACTAACCATTGCAACCGTTTGGCATTTAACAATAAGAGAGAATTTTTATTTAATTTTCGTAAATTAACTAAATAGCTTCAGTAGTATATCTGGATTGTAAAGCAAAAATTATCAAAGGTTGCATTTAGTAGATCTGGATTTGGAGAGATTTATTTTTATTATTAAAAATTGCTTCATTCATGACGAATGAAAGACAATCGTATAAAATGATATAATAAAACAGTTCATTCGTAATTTAAACACGAATATAATTGAAACAAAAATATCATTTATAAAATAGGCGCACTGTCTGAATATTATCACGAGACACACAAAATAAAACGCGGGTGCCTCTTCAGTTCAATCTCTAAAACCAGTTTTACGTTCAGTAGCACAATAAGGACCTACACCATAATGACATAGATGAATAATGCAATATGAATTTCCTTAATTACACATGCAATTACTTGTTTACGTATAGCATTTTCTTCCTACACTCAAGTTAGTAACATACTAAATGTGAATTCTTACATTATGCTCATTTAGTGAATATATAAACAAAATAATGCAAACGGCAAATAAAACTACGACACATAACCATACCAATATGTGATACTAAAAAGTGGCAGGTATATATAGCATTACTCTTTTAACTTTGAAGGAAAGAGCTATATTTAAACCAAACAAGAAGCATATGTGTTGAGAAAAACTGTATTTTTTTTCATGTTGAAAACTATGAGACTGGTAGAGCCCCAAACCAGAGCAGCTTTGTTTTCACAAAATCAAGAGCTAAAGGAAGAGTGAGTGGCTTTGTTTTGTGCTCTCTTTCTCTCTCATCACTGAGATTTTTTCCATTTGCCACAGTAGCACAGCCGGGGCCATGTACAACCTCCTTTGTATACTGAAATTCTTGATTCTGCCCGTGTGATTTTGCACTTTCACCCCCTTAATCTTCCTTAGTTACTTCTTTTTCTTTGGTTACCAAAATTTATTTTTTATCCTTTTCATTTCTTAGTTTGGATTTGTCTTCTTTTTTTCTTTTTTTTAATAGAATCGATAGTTTAGGTGTCATGGGTGTTCTCACACACACTACCAAAGTGTCATGGAAGTTCAAAGTTGAGATTATTTATCTGTAAGTCAATGCTCTTTTTCATTGGGCTATACCCGTTGACTAGTTTGAATTTGTCTAAAGTTCTTGTAATTGATGAGGAAATAAGGTGCTCCTCATTAACCCAAAAAAAATAAAAAAGACTTCAAATTCGTTCAAATCATCAATTTTGGTTGTAAAGTGTATTGTGTTAGGTCAAATTATGAAGTGGCGTTTTGAGTTTGAAGGCATAAAATACACAAACCTTCACACTTGTAATCACAAAAATCTTATCCCTCATGAAAAAGTGCATTGTAGAGTTTGTTAAAAAGAAGAATGAAAAAGTTGATGGACATTCTCTTGAAATTACTGATTTGGTCATTGTTTCCATCACTTAACCAAACTTTAATAAGTTTTTTTATGATAAAAAAACAAAAGGAAAACTTTAATAATTATTAATATTAACATCCACTTTTTCTTAACGTAACAGAAATTATACTAACGCCTCATGAGGTTTTAAATTATTTTTATAAAACTCATTCCGTTAGTTTTCCGTCCAGAAACATGAAATCTTTAGTCCAAAAACATTACCCAAAAAAAATCAGTTTTGTTATGGATAGCAGCAGAAATTTTGTTCTTTTAAAATTTCTTTTAAAGTTTTTGCTGCATATGGATTTAGACAAGTATAGCAGAATACCAGAATAGTACAAGACAAACCCTGCTGCTCCACTGTAAAGTTGGACGATATGTTTGGGATAGAATAGTACAAGCCAAAACTGCCAAGGCAAATGCTAAAGGGCAGGTACTGATATGACTCAGTCCTCCCTCTTTCAGCCCATATAGTACCCTGACCATATGCTTACTGGTTCAACTGTTGGAGCCTTAATTTCCTTTTTCTTTTTTGGCAAAAATCACCAAAAACAATTTCTTCAATACTTAATAAGATGACCTATCTTTAAATTTGAAAAAACATGGAAATAATCTAAAATTTCATGTTGATTTTCTTTGTAGCTTAAGGGGTGCCTTGTTTCCTAGTTATGTGGCTATGATGTTGCCCTTTGCGGGAGAAAAACTTGGCTATAACTCGTTCAGTTAACCTATCACGTGATGAGAGAGATAGAAAGAAAGGTTGCATAAATCAGTTTCGTGTAAGTTTTCTCATTTGTATTGCATATCCCCCTTCACTTTAAGAACCCAAGAATCCGAACAGGGTATTGTAGACGTCTAAAACATGTTGACTAATGTGGAGATCCAGCAGTAAACTACTTTGATCTTGAATTGGATAACAAGGAAAAGCATCCGAACAACCCGAAAAACGAAAATGAAGAGAAAAACCCAACAAAGTTTGATTGAAAAAGATTACAAGAATATTTTAATGAGTGGATGTTTGTTAACGGAAAGGAATGAAATTGGGCAGATTTTTGGCTGATGTAGTAGTTACAGAGAACTGCCTTATAAGTTATAATTATTATAGTTTCCAAAGCTTACGGTAGTGAAACAGGTTTCTTTTGATTTGGCAATGTCGGATAAGTTAATAATAGTGTTCAAAGCCAATTCTGCAGGCATCAAACTATACACTTTCTAGGAGGCAAGCTAGTTGTGGGGTTCTATAATTCCCTACCTTCCACTGTCTTCTGTCTTAGCAACTAAGGTATGCGTGTACGCCATCCAACTCCATAACCCCAATGAAATTGGGCTTTTTATAATAAAAAAGATACAAGGACCTGTAAGTTTTTGCAGTGGTAACCATAGGCGCATTTCCAGGGTAATGATTACTTGTTATCACATCTTTTAATTTCAACTAAAGGAAGCTAGAACTTATTTGAAACTAAAACTCGAATAAAGAAGTTCATTGAACTTATGGTAATGGGATTTGCTTTGAATATACAAAGCCTATATATCTCAGTAAAAGAATTGCTGCTTATTTGTAACATACGCAAATCTCAGTGTCTCGTGATGTCGAGGTTATGATGCAACTACATTGCTGGAGTCAATGGTCTAGAGTTCTGCGGCTGACTCTACCAAAAACACCATTAAGTAGAGATGAGTGCTCGCATCAGTCGTCTACGTGCACGTTGGGACTGTGAGTCATTAATGCACTTGAGTTCAACAATGCATCAATGGCTGACGCCCATATTCCTTTAAGTTGATGGACCAAGCCTAAGTTTTCCCACCAGTGTAAAAAGTTAGCGGACTTGGTAGCCATGAAAACAATACAAAAAGCTTAAGCACTGGATGGATAGTATGATTATGTGTTTGAAGCCTCAAAAGAAGGCAATCAAATTGAAACATCCTCTTTTGCAAATTAACAAATTCCAGACGGTCTACATGCATTTTGAAATACCTAGAAGTTGAGATAATTGTTAAAACGAGGCAAAATAGGCACCCAGGTTTGTCATGTGAGGTTTGTCATGTGATCATGCACACAGAAGACAAAAGCAGCTTCTGCATAAGCAAACATAGATCATATAGTACAGTAGACTAATTAAATTTTGTGTGGATTAGGGAGTGTAGTTAATAGTTTACAAGATAATTCTTTACATAAATTACCCCAGTAGGTTGACAAAAATTATTAAACTTGGTTGTCTTGCTTACCTCCCGGAATATGCAATAAATCCTCAAAGAGCATGATGTTGAACCAAAAGATAAAGTTGATTTTGCCAGCAGAAATGTGTGCAAACTACAAACACTTTTCGTTCTCAACCCACCAGGACGATTTTCTGTTGATATGTCTCAATCATCAAAACAATGTAGTTCAATGTGCCAATAGCTCATGGTTCTTTACGTGGCTCATAATCTCATCCAGCAATTTGTATATGTCTTTACTTCTTTTATGTGATTTGTCACCCTTTTTAAATTCATGAACAACACCATCAAGTTCAATTGAACTACAACCAGGAGTTTTCTTCACGTTCTTGCCTTTCATTACCCTTCTCAACTTCACTGCATCCTTCCATCTATTTGCAGAGGAATAAATGTTTGACATGAGCACATATGCACCATCTCTCTCTGGCTCTACCTTCAATAGTTTTTTCATTACACTTTCAGCAAGCTCTACTTTCCCATGGATCCTACAAGCTCCCAATAGGGCCCCCCAGACAAAGGCATCAGGCTCAATTGGCATGTTTTTAACAAACTCCTCTGCCTCGTTAATTAACCCGGCCCGGCCTAAAAGGTCAACCATGCAGCCGTAATGCTCTGTCTGAGGTCTGAGCCTGTACACACTTGACATATCTCTAAAATATTTATGACCCTCTGCAACAAGTCCTCCATGACTACATGCTGCCAGGACTCCTATAAATGTCACCTCATCTGGTTCGACGCCCATTCTAGGCATCTCAGCAAATATATCCAATGCCATCTCAACTTCCCCATGCATAGCTAATCCGACAATCATGGCAGTATAGGAATATACATCTCTACGTTTCATGCCGTGAAAAACTCTAAAGGCTTGGTCTATGCTTCCACACTTAGCATACATATCCACGAGTGCATTCCCTATAAACCCATCTGCCTCAATCCGATTTCTATCAACATAAGCATGTACCCACTCCCCCAACTCGAGCACTCCAAGATTCGTGCACGAATTCAAAACACCAACTAAAGTAACATCATCTGGCTCAAGACCTATTCTTTGCATCTCCCGGAACACATCCAATGCTTCCTTAAATTTCCCTTGATGTGCCAAACCTGATATCATTGAATTCCAAGAAACCACATTTCTCACAGGCATCTCGTTAAACACCTTATATGCAAAATCAGCATCTCCACACTTCAAGTACATATCAACCAGAGCATTTCCTATAAAAACATCTCGGTAGACCCCATTATCATATATGTATTCATTTATCTTCCTCCCCAAGTTCAAGTCTCCCAATTTAGAGCAAGCAGAGAGAACAATGACCAATGTCATCTCATCTGCCATCATTTTGGCATCACACATATCAAAGAATGCTTCCACGCCTTCTCTGGGCAACCCCATTTTAACATAACCCTGAATAAGCGTAGTCCATGACACCAAGTCTCGTTGAGGACCTTCATCGAACAAGTTGCGGACACAATTTATAACCCCACAAACAGCATAAAGCCTCATAAGAGTGTTCTTCACATACACATTGGACAAAACAAGCCCAGTCTTGATAGCATAGGTGTGCATTTGCTGGCCTTCTCTCAGCGCACGCGAATGCGCGCATGCCTTGAGAACGGAGGGAACAGTGTAGTTATCAGGAAGGAGGCCATTGATAAGCATATGTTTGAGTAATTCCAACACCTGAAGAAGCGAGCTTGCTTTGTTGTTGGGGTTTGAAGGGAGGCCTTGGATGATGGCATTGTAGAGGCTGAGGCAGAGGTCCGGTTTTTCCAAGTGGTTTAAGAAGGAGAGAATGTGAGTGAAGTTTTTTTCAGTTGAAGAAGTGAGTTTTGGATACATGAGGTGTTGGGTTGGGAAAGGGAGAGGCCTTGTTTTGATGATAAATGCATGGAGTTGTTTGAGCTGTGTTGTGCTTATTGATTTGCATGATTTGAGTCTGCCATAAGCTTGGACCCATAATTCTTGGGAGTTCATGTATTCTTGAGAGTGAAATTGGAGAACTAGCAAGGTGGAGGCAGAAGACTAGTCAATTTTCTCTTTTGGGTTTTTTAGTTTGTTTTTCTGTCAACTATTTAGACCCTCCAAACTAATGGTCTGGGGGCCATTTCAAATTCACAAATCATCTTCAAAAGGTGAATACAAATTTGGGTTCATTATTTCTTTGTAAATACAAGTACATTTCCAGTGAACTAGACCCCGTTGGTGAAAAATTAGCAAAGTTAAAACAAATAAAATCTATGTTCAAGGGAGAGGCTAAGCCCTCGCAGTTAGCTTGCACAAGTAGAGTTGTGCTTATGTCCATTCAAATATCCGCTGTTGTAGGCATCCCCTGATGTTAGAGTCAAGTCGTTCATTGTAACTTTGACAAATAGCTTTAACGGTGTGAAGTTTGTAGTCGTGAAATCTTGCTCCTGCCCAAATTCTGTGTCTTTTTTCTCTAACTCGCGCTGCTTGGAGTTGGAAGGATCCTCTTGAAGCTTCAAAGTCTTCTCTCTGCGAGATTCAGCTTGAGCTGGGAGATCTTTGAGACGAGAAACCTCTTCCTTCAGGCGAAGCTCCTCTGTAGAGTCGCAAGCATCTTGAGCTTGAAGACGGACCTGCAAATTCCCCACTTAAGCCTTATGCTTATCGGCTTTCAGTTATGCTAGCTCCTGATGATCTTCTGTTGGGACCCGAAAAGAAAAATCAAAACCCCTCTTGAAATGGGGAGAAGTGAAGTGTCAACAGCTAGAGTTTGAGAACTAAAGGAGCCTTCAGCCTCTATAAATTAAGCCACCATGACCGGGCAAAACCCCAACCTTCATCAAACAAGAAAGCCATTTCTTGAGCTGCTGTAAACAGTCATGAAAAATTCTAAGTCTCATCCTCCATACTCTATTCAACCACCACATTCCAAGCCTTAATCATGAAAATGGCCCCAGCTTTTAAGCTTGCTTAACTTCTGTATTGAGCTTACAATTTGTGTTTCAAGCTTAGGTCAAGGATTTTAACTGAGAAACTTCCCCAAGCATATTAGCTTCCTCATAAACTACAGAACATTTAATTTATTTTTTTTTCTTTAATCAACGGCGAAGGGGGTTTTTGAACTTGGACCTCTTCCAACATTAGGGGAAGAAAAACTAAATGAGAGCTAGGTTGTTGTTTCATTTATATGTCATAACATTATTACAATCATAATAGATCATATCTTATGCATGATTCAGTCTGGGGATATAATAACATACCATATTTTTGGCAATAAAATTCAAAATTTCCATGGGGCGTCCAAAATCAAGAGGAATAGAAACTTAAGCCAGATCAATTTCCACCAACACATAAGAAATACCAAAAAAATAACAATGTACATCTTACTGATCAAAATTCTAATATATTGAAAAACTAAATTCCCCGACAGGAAATTCACAGGGGGCTAGGGAGGGAAAGGAGTATAAAAAGAAATTACTAAAAGTTCACTAAAGGAAGAGAGAAGGATTAACAAATTCTGGAGTTGATAAGCGACTAGCTACTCTACCTGCCTGGCTATACATCCCAACCATCCTTCCGGCCATCAAATTCCCACTTGCGCCCGGCCAAACTTCCATACATGTCAGAAAACTTCAGGAGGCAGTTGCTCCTTATATGGTAGTGAACTTGTGTATTTCGGCTGATTGCAGCACCAGATAACTTGGACGTATCGATTGCCCACGCTGGCCTCACATACTCCACAGTCTTAGATGAGCTTGCATTTGCATACAAGTAATTCATCAGCACGTCCTCGCAGTTGAAATTCTTGTCCACCACTTCCCTAGCTTGATGGGCTTCTTCACCCCAATACCTCTTGAAAGCTACTTGACTATCAAGGAAAGCCGCCCCTGTGAGAATCATGTTGTAACCTTTATGAGTCCGGGCAAATTTCTCACCTCTATACTTCAATGGGCTTCCATCAATTAGCCGGGGGTAGAAACCCACAATACGATCTGGGTGTTGACGCCATATCCTGAACCCCCGCTCAATATCATTGCAAGTCATCATAATGTCGTCATCAAGCTCCAGAACAGCTCGTGTCTTTATCAAAGAATCCATCTTGAACCGATTATTAAGTGAGTTTTGTTTCTCTACTCTGATCCTAACTGGCACTGTGGAGTCAAAATCACGTACTTTAGGAGGTATTCCCTTGTTCCACACCACAACAATTTCTCGCACTGAGGAACATCTAGAATAGTGTTTAACATACATTTTCAAATTCCAAAGACGGGCATCATAGGTCATTGTTAATAAGGTGAACTCTGAGTAGTGACCTTTCAATGGGTAAGCTTCTTCTGCACCGCTGCCACCATATATATATTTAACCCCTGTGCACATAGCTGCGACTCCACATGCCAAAAGTATAGCAAGAACCAGTCGTCCAGCACAGGTATTGGGTTTAATCCGACCTCTGAAGAATGAAACTTCTCTGTTCAAGCGGCTGCAAAACCGTCTCACTTTCGAAGAAAACAAATGTGACCTTTCCCAGGCCAAGAATGCATCACTCCTCTTACCTGAGTTGTAAGTGCACCAATTGAGGGGAATTAGGCACTTCACAGCTCCAAGTAGTACTCCCAGTAATATAACAAGTACAGCAACAATCGCAACTGAAGCACTGCCAAGAATAAACCTCCGAACTGAATCTCCGGAAGGTACCCGGTCTCCATCCATCACTCCAATCCACTCACCAGTATTCAGCTGCTGCACATCAAGATGATGATGGCGAGCACCATTCCAAGCATTGCGCCCCTTACTTGGCTCTATTAAGCCTAAGGAGACTTCAACTTCTTTGTATTCATCTTTGGTAAGAACTTCCACCTTGAAGGTGCGCACTCTTCTCCCATATGTTTCAGCACAGTCTTGACCAAAACGATAAAGATTCCCATTGTAGAAAAATGGTCTGCCTCCATTTCGAGCCCCAAAGCTCTTATCAACATTATATACAGGGTTCTTTTTGTGTGGTTTCCAAGGACCAAGAGGTGAGCTGCTATACCAGATTTCCAACTGTCCATTTTTTCTGGTACCAAATCCACTGTGATCTGAACCAAAAAGCCAATAAGCTCCATTATAATTTATTATGAAGGAATCAACAAAAGGCTTTTTCATGATCACTTTTTCCAGAGTCCATTGCATTGGAAAATTGATTGCTCGGTACAGACGAAGCTCTCCTTTCATACTGCTCTCAGGCATCATATATATCTGTAAGAAAGAAGAAGAAAGAAGTTATGCAATAGATATAAAATTTACCCTCGAAAATTAGATTATCAGTGGTTTTTGTGTCTGCAATCAACCCATACATGTGTCCCCGAATGCTGCAACTTGACCAAAAGATGCATGACAAATTGTGCAGAAATATTTTTTATGTGTCTTTGCTTCCATTCGCCCTGGTGATGGAATCAATTGGGTTGGTGTGCATGCAAAAAGAAATTGGATCTTACTTGGCCAAGGTAGTTGAAGACATATGGATAAGAGAGATGCCAATCTTCATCCAAGGCAATGCCCAATTGCTGCCATGTTGCTCCCTTATCGGTACTTTTTGAAACCCCTATATCTCCTTGCATGGTGATTGAATTCTTGGTTTCATAGAACAAGTAAAAAATATCTCCCTGAAACAAGACGCCAAGATATTGAATAATGCGATCAAGTAGTTCTAAGAAAAACCACAACAGTTGACACGTTAAGACATTACAGGAATATTGCCAATATCATATTGGAATATACAATCACAAGTAAAAATCTCCCTGAAACAAGAAGCCGAAATATTGAATAGTGTCATCAAGTAATTCTAAGCTACAACATTTAGCACGTTAAGACATGCAGTGTGAAGATATTGGCATATACATCTGCAAATTAAACACTCATTCAAAGGATGCACAAGTACACAAACGCACGGAGAGCCAATGGCAGTGCTAACAGTCTCCAAAATGCCCATCACCTGGGAGAATTGTAGTCCGGTTGAATAAACACACAACATTTCATATCTCTGGAAAATGATTTCTGGATTTTCTTGTGTTTACGACCTGGTAAACAACTAGGTCAACAGAAAATCACTTCATGGCCAACAGGAAAAATTGTTAAAAAATCATTAAATAACTGATGTAGGACAGCACAGTGATGGGTGTCTGGGTATAGTTATGGTGGCCTTAGGATGATACAAATTTGAAGAGATAGAAAGTGACTGACATTGACCAGTGTTGACTGTTTGGCCAATGACAGAAAATCCATTCGTGGCAGCCACCCCACCGCCCCCACTACTATAATTCCTGTCTTATTGTCAATTTCAAACCAACTTCCCAAATAAAATATAGTCAATTTCAATTTATCAAATAATAGAGAATGACTTTTCCATGAAGGAAATCATTTTTCTTGGAAATATTTTCCTCCAAATCAAATGGAGCCTTGGTACAATCAAGTAGAAACATCTACTATTTGTATTGAGGTTTGAAAAGAGAAGGGATAAAACACAAGGCCAGTACAATGAGGAAAAGCTTGACAACAACTTATATTGGTTGTCCCTTTCATGGCAACTGCATTCTATGTAATAAAAATATCAATAACATGATAATTCCAGCAATGTTTTCAACTAGTGGTGGTCCCGGGCTAAGCACTATCAGAATACACACAGGGCCTTATATTATCAAGTTCCTGGAATGTATCTATATCCAGCAACCAGAAAAGTTCGGTGATACCACTATCCAAACAATCTATTGAGAAAAAACAAAGTCAAGTTTTCACCACAAGAATCCAGAGAAGAAAAGGAATACCATGTCAGCAACAGAGAAGGACTCTCCCACTACCTAAGAGTATTTATCAAAATCATGCCTTGCTAGAGAAAGACGAACCAACCAAACATAATAATAGCACAACATCAAATGGTGCATGAATGAAGTTTGACACTAAATCATGCACTTAATATCCTACACAGGAGATTTGACCCCAATAAAATTCCTGCACAGGAGACAGTATCGTAAAATGAAATATATCTCCTCTACTACAACAGTCCAACAAACATATATAAACCATATATAGTCAACAAATTTAGAGAAATATGAACTTTAAGATTGACCTTGATAGTAGCAATCAACTAGCATTTTACTAAGGATAACAAGAACCAATATATAAAAAGAGAAAATAAAAAAGAATGAGAAGAAAAAACATATTCGCCTCAACACACCAGCAGTTCGGAATCAGAGATGGCAAAGAATTTCAGTGCTTTCGGAAGAATAAATGATAAGAGAAACTATCATTCTGCAAGAAGTGCCTATGACACAAGCTTACAGAAGGACAAATGATAGCATAAATCTAGCCAGCATCCAACAACAGGGTGTTTTGAACAAGAGCAATGATATTCACAACGTGCAATAAGATTGCAACCAATGAGCAATGAAAAAGGGGTTATGCTTATTACATAGACACTGACACTAAGCGCATAAAGATGATTTCTGCAGACAAGTAATCCAAATGTAAAAAGACAGCCACTTCTAGTACAGAGAATCACTACAGCTGAAGTTTGAACATGAGAAAGGTTTACTGCATCCATTATGGTTATTGTTTAAAGTGAGAATAGCCATAAGAATCAGATTATTGCAAGGTAAAACAATTTCTCAAAATTTTAAAAATTATAAGGTACAAGGAAATAACACTCACTAATTCACCCTCATCGTCGTGTCCATGCTTTCCAGATTCATATACACTAAATATTATCAGTGTCATCCTACTGAACCATTAATACAAGTGATCCTTTCTCAACCTAGAACCAAAAAATATATATTTTTTCAATTACTGACAGCCATGCACATAAATTGGAACACTATAAACCTTTCCAATTTATATATTGGCATACTAAATTAGAAGACCATCAACGTCTGTCAGAACAATGAGGTAAGGCATAACTCAAACTAATCATGATTGCCTCTGTCACCAACATTTCCTTCAGCTATGTTACTGCTAATGATCAATTCAAAGTATTACCTAACAATTGAAACTTGGAATAACATCAGTAATGCCATCATTATGCTATTCTCACCCACTTGCTTAAATTCACTTAAACTTGTTACCACTGTTGCTAATAAGAACAGAAAAATATAATTGAAACCTTCAAACTTAAGTGTATCAAATACCGAGTCCAGCCCTTTACCTCCCACTCCAAGGAAACATGATAATATCCTACCATCTCCCCTTGAGATTTAAGCATGAAACCATGTAGTCCTCAAGGTTTTATCAGAAACATGACAAATACTCTGCTATTACAATTCACTCAGGGTTATAAACGTACAAGCCATGAAATTTCAAGTGCCTTCGCTATAGTACATTAAATTGGTCCTTCGAATATTGACATGCAATCAATTAGATTACAGAACTGTAAAAACTAAGAAATTTGAATAGAGACCAGAGAAATTACCTGGACATAAAGGAAAGGATCAGCAACAAAATTACTTGGAAAACCAGCATCAGAAACTGAAGCACAAGTCACAACTGGGTTGGCTACTGGCCACGCCGCAGTTTTGTCCCTCCATACATTCATCTACACCGAATTCCAAACCATTTTCAAAATTCAAAGTCACCCAAAATCCACAATTTAACAGATACACTACCCAGCTCACAAATTTTATTTTATTTTATTTTTTAAAAGAAATTAAAACCCAAAAAAAGTAACCAAACAATAAAAGAACAACCCATAGAAGAAAAATTTAAGTTAAACAGCGCAGTTTGCTTGAAGAAAAACTTTTCCTCCAAGAAAACAGAAGAAAATTATAATAATTTACTGTGGAATAAATATAAATTATAATAATTTTCAGCAAAGCCAATTTCATCCCGAACATGTCAAAATCAAAACAAACCTAATTGAAAAATCCTAGGCAAACCTACCATAACCCAAAAACTAAACTAAAAATAAATAAAATTCGAAAAATACCCATAATAGAAAAACACAAAACACACACACCCAGACAGTAAAAAATTACAAAATTAAAGAAATTAAGAATCTTACAGCTTCAATGGGTTTGAGGGAAAAAGGAGAGTCACCGAAGAAAACACCGACAGACCAGGAACCTTCATTGTCCTCCTGACAACCAAGCATGGAGGAAGACGACAAGGCCGTACGAGCATAATAGGGCGTGAAAGCGAACCAGACGTAGAGCGTGGCCACTGATCCGAACAACACGAAGCAGCCCAAGAAGAAAACGAACCCCGAGGACATTAAACACCTCCATCTACACCTACACTTGAGGCTCACGTTGCAGCAGCTGTTATTGCTTGTACCATTGGTACAACCACCCACAGCACCGCCGCCGCCCCCGCCGACAACACTACCACCGGAACCACCACCGCCACCGCTCCCCGCCGGACTCGAACCCATTTATTTTTTCAAAAAAAGAAAACCCCACCACCAAACGCCGACGTGTCACCGCCGCAGAAACGACGCCGTAATTACCGCCACCGGCATTTTTGTTTAATTGATTTGATAATTAGGCGCTTTTTTTTTCGGATTTTGGCCGTACAGGTTTGGGAAAAAGAGAAAAAAGGTGACGGAGCGAGAGAGGTTTGAGTTGTGTTCTTATAGAGAAAGCTTACGAAGAAATTTAAGGAAAAAATATGAGTATATGGAAAATGTATATGACTATATCTATATAGAGTGGTCCGCCGATCAAGCCTTATAAGAGAACTAGAGTGCTCCTATGATATCTCACTTTACTCATTTTTTTGTCTTTTTTTTTACTTTTTCACACATACGCATACAACCACCAAGATGTCGTAAAATATTAATGGTATTCGAACTTCAGACCTCTAATTCACAATCCAAGTTCCTTTTTAACTTTTTTTTTATTATAGGCTTAAGAGCAAAAATGGTTGTTTTTAAATTATGTGGGGCTTTTCAGTTTTTCAGATAGCAAACGAAACTCACATATACTACACGAATGATAGGATTCGAACTCAAGACATTTTATGAAGGAACAATTACTTCAAACCACTACACTAGTGGGTCTTTTATAGGCTTTTCATTTTTTTTAAAGCGCATTAAAGGAAGAATACTTTAATAAATTTATCCTAGCACAATCCAAAGAGTACAATTTCGATTCTCAGCTTCTCCAGCATTAAAATAAAATAAAATAAGGGAAAAAAAAACATATTTTTTCAAATAGTATAATTCTTCTGTTTTTTTTTAATAAATTTATTAAAATGAATTAAATTTTTTGAATCTGGAAAAAAAAATTAAGAATTGAGCGTAAATCTGAATTTTTTTTACTCAAATTTTTATGGTAGGCACCGTAACTTATGTGGAAACAGAAGATATCGGTGGTATTAACAAAGAAAGCTAATAAAGACACTCAGAAATCAATATTTTATTACTATTTATTAACCAATTGCAATGAGCCGAGCAAGCTGAGCTCATAGACCAAAGCTCGAGCTCGGGCTTTAATCTCCAATAGGCCTTATATTTTGTTTGCGCTCAGCTCTTCTTTTTCACAAACCAAATTTTGAATTACCTGAACACGATTCGAATTCAAATTTTATCGAGGCAATGCGTACTTGACTCATATGTATTCAATATTTACACGTGGATATGTTGTGTTGTGGGGTAGCACAAAAAGATTGAAGCAAGTCCTCCAAGTTAGCATTTTGTCAAATTAATTTGAGGAAAACCTTGATTGGATCTTAATTGCAACCATTTTTTGATAAAATAGCGATAGTATTTTATTGATAAGATAAACAAAAATAAGTGTAAAGCAACTAGGTGTCGAGTATGGATACAACTTCTCCAGTGACTAAACGCAACAACAAGTTGAATTGATTTGGAGAGAATATGTTCAACTCAAAAAATAATTAAAATCCCTGAATCAGTAATCAGAAGCACATGTACTCAAACATTCAATAAAGATTTTTCGCATGACGTCAAAAACAACAGATCCGTATCGAAAGCCAAAAGGAAATAAAATATCTTATACAAAAAACAAACCACATCAAACACCTAAAGAGTTCATGGGAATTATTAGACTAAAACAAACTAATAAACAAGACCACCGTGCACATCCTCTCGGGCAACCTGAAGAGAGCCATATCTCCATACCGGCTAAACTCATAGTGTCACACCGGCTAGACCCAAACCCAACACAGCCCGTCATCATCCACGCTTCGTAGCTCCGAATCTACAACTGGAGACAAATCATTGCATGTGCGGGCCAAAAACGACAACCATATCATGGCAACAACAACGTTTCACAGCCACTGCTTTTGTATCACAAAACAAAATATAAAAAAATTAAAAATTAAAATAAAAAAATAAAGTATTGGTGATTTTATGTGTGCCTTATTCTGAATTGAATTTCCAAAATCTTAATAAACATTGTAATGACCTCGAACGGAAGTGATTTTTCAAATTAATAAACATGCCATAGAGAGACTACCATACTAAATACTTACCAATAAATTACTATCAATAAATTAAAACAAATTATTTGACAAAAAAATTAAAAATGAATTATATTTGAAATATGCAATGTGAAGCGTAGGATTTATGAATATTTCGCGAGGCATGTATACTTTGTGGTAAGTGGATGTTTCATTTAGGAGAGCTGCTACAATGTGGGGGATGTGAGTGAGGGGTTCAATCCAATCATCCAATGATTAAAAAAGTTTAAGTTCAATATTTCCTTTATATTATTGTACAATGGGATTGAATTCCTCACCCACAACCCTCTCATTATAGCATTTTCGTTCATTTAGTGCTTCATACTCGATAAAATTGAAGGACAACTTCTTCCAAAGTTCTATAAATATAAAAATAAAAACAAAAGTTTTTCTAAATGAATTTTGTGTGGGACATCAAAATTTAGAGGTGAACTATCAAGCTCTCATTCATACAAGGGTCATTTTCACAAATGATCTAGAGATTTACAAAATTATCACATTTAGTTTTGTATATTTTTTCCATTACATATTTGGTATTCAAGATTTCCTCGCATGCATCAAATTGATCCCTACCGTAAAATACCATAACATTTCATTTATACAAGGGTCATTTTCACAAATGATCATGAGATTTATAAAATTATAAAATTTGATTTTTTATATTTTTAACGTTATAGATTTGGTACTCAAGTCAAGATTACCTCGCGTGCATCAAATTTGTCCCTACATAGCATTCTGTAAGAAATTCAGTTAATAGTAATGAAGCAATAGATTTATTAACTTGTAAAGCTTAGAACTTCAAGGATAGAAGGGCCACTTCATAGTCATAGACTCACAATATGTTAGTCAAAGTCGACCTCATTTTCCCTTTGTTTTGGTAGTGCACAAAATTCGGTACAATAATATGTCAGCTAAATTTTTTCCGGGAAAGAGTCATCTTTACGGGAAGCAGAATGATTTTGATAGAATTTGTTGCGTGTTTTTGAATTGTTCGAATTTAAAACTATATGGATAAAAATTGACACAATTGAAACCACGGGAACTAAAATGATAAAACCGGCAAACTACATGAACCAAAAATGACTTTTTACATTTTTTATTTTTTTTATAGTCAATTATTATTTGCAAAATTTTGAACAAACATTAACATTGTTTGGACTTGCGACATGTTTGCACCAAAACTATGCACTCAGTACATGTATGGTTTTTTATTATACAAACATATAGAATGAAAACTGAAATTCATGAATCAAAATAAAAAGAATATCCTCAGAAAGAAGGAGATCATCCAGCTAGGAGCCTCCTCATTCCAAGTTATAATAAATTCGATACAATTGAGGAGCATATAGCAATAAATAAATAAATAAATAAAGCAAAAATATTTGGTCCACAATCCACATAACATAAATCAAATTGAATTTCTTAACCATATACGATGTACTGACCAATGCAATGTTGAATACATCGCGGGGAGGTGTTAAATGGGAACATCTTATTTGTCTTATTAAAAATAAAAATAAAAAAGCTGTCACCTTTGAAATTATATTATTTATTTTTCTTCTGGGCTAAGAAAATGAGGTATATTATGGGGAGGGCTTTGTTTGGGAAGGCATGTATATTCAAAATTTGAGGGCAGTTTTTGTTTGCCCATTGGAAAGAGAAACCAAGTGGGGATTTTGAAAAGGAAAGAGAAAAGGGATAAGGAGGAATTGATGATGGATTTAGCTTTCTTGACCTTGACTTTGTCAACCCTAGTTCAAATCAAATTGTATACTTCAGCACCTCCAAAGATGTTATAATTTAATCAAATTTGCAGTTTTATATAGAAGACTTGCTACAATGCTAATGCGGCAGTTACAACTAAACTTCTCTTTGGGATACATGAAATTTGATAACAATTTGGCTTCTAGAAGCTCATACGTACTTTTGAGGTAAGATCATACCAGGCTATTTATAAAAACTACTTTTACAACGGGTTCATACAGTCACAACAAAGCTACACTATTATGGGGTTATATTCGTCACAAATATATATATCTTCCTCACTATCTATGTGAGTCGAACCCGAGACTGTCAATCGAGTTGAGGTAAATACCACTAGACCAAAAGTTAGTTTGTTATAACCATTTTCTAATTGGCTTTATTCTTTTTTCTTTCGTCTAAAGATCATACTTTTTAAGTTATAAGATGAGGATAAAATACCAAAATCTTACATACTTTAACTACATAAATTAAAAGCTTCTTACACTTTTGTAATTAGTTTTAACTTATATCCATAAATCTCCTTGCAAATGATGTTGGAAAAGCCACAATTTGACAAAAGAAACACTGATAGGGACAAATGAATGATGTAGAGAACAAAGATGAACACATATGCTTAGTGGATAATGCTTTTATTGATTGCGTGCAGGCCTTCATTTGAATATGCGCATAAAGCTCGAGGGCAGTTTGAATTGGTTTGGTTAGACTCAGAGCACTTCGTTTATACCAAAACAAGTTTGACCCTTTCATGAACAAACCAATAGCAAACCAAAAACAAAGAATAATAATATTATACTTACACACCAAGGCGGAGCCAGAAACATAGATCATGGGGAATAATATATAAAAAATATGAAATCAGTTATTTTTGTCTTTTATAAGCACTTGTCTCTCCGCAGTGCTCTCGTGCTCGAGAGAAGTTTTTTTAAAAAATTCAAAATTTATTTTAAAATTAAAAAAAGATAATGGGTAGTTGTGTTTCATAAAAATAAAATCCATTATCTGAATTTTCTTTTAATTTTAATTTTTTTAATATAAAAAAGTGTGAATTTACCATATTATCCTCATTTAATTAATAATTTCAATTATTAATGTTTGGATTAACCAATGGCATTTTCTAGTATTTTGAATGTTTCATCATTCTCTGCCTTTTGTTTTATATATATAGATATAAGTTTTTTTTTGTCC